CCCCCCCCCCCCCCTTTTCAAAAATATACTTGTTGCTGATAATGAGAAGCTGGGTTTTGCCAGCTCTTGCTGTAACATGTAGCTACGAAGCTCTGCTTGGAAATGTCAACTCTGACTTCCCTTATTTTTTCCCCCCTCCTGCTTGGTAGGTACGCGTCTTTGTGAACCAGCTGTACCAGCCTCCGCTGGTGAATGATGTCAGGCAAAATCCTGACCTGAAGGCCATCCGTATTGCTGCAGTGAACCCCATCCTGGATCCTTGGGTCTACATCCTCCTGCGCAAGACGGTGCTCAGCAAAGCCATAGAGAAGATCAAATGCCTCTTTTGTCGTATTGGAGGGGCTCGGAGGCAGCACTCCGGGAGCAATTTCAACTGCGTCGATGGCCGCAGAGCTTCCTCTGCCATGTCCACCCACTCACCGTCCTTCATCTCCCGAGAGCTGAGAGAGATCAGTAGCACCTCACAGACGCTACTGTATCCTCCAGAGCTCAATGAAAGCAGCGTTGCAGGACGTGTGCTACTGCCAGGAGCAAACACTAGTCTGGCTCAGTGTGACACTACATCAGTGAGGACATTGCGTAGCTCAGAGACCTCAGATTCTTCTCAGGGGCAGGACTCCGAGAGCGTCTTTTTAGTCAAGTCTGGTGCAGGGCCCAGTGCTGCATCCAAGGGCAGCTCTCTCCAGGTCACGTTCCCTACTGAAACGTTGAACTTATCAGAGAAGTGTATATAGTAATGAATGGAAATGGAGAAAGATCCTTCCAGGTACTTTGGAAAAAACTGGTGCAATTCATAGCCATGCTACCTACTGAAGGCGTGAGGGGTTCAGCTATTCTCTGAAGGGCTATTTTTCTCTTGCCATGTGATGGGTACAATTCTTCCAGACTACTGAGGATTACACATAGGAACAGTTGTTGCAATCCGACTGTGGTATTATAAAACATAATGGGTTTGGAAATATAAATTGCCTTGTCTTGCCTTGCTCTGACACAGGATTGCTGCTGGGACTCTAGAGCTAGAAAGAACCATTGCTGTTTTAATCCAAATCTGGTGGAAATGTATTTTCTCCTCCACTCAACTCTTTATGGGTTTACAGTTCTGGTACTAGAACTAAAGGTGGGGCAATTACTGGGAACTGGGAAGAGAGACTATGACAACTGCCTTGCTGAGGATTTTAAAGTGTCTCACTAAAGTGTGAAAATGTGAATTTTTATTGCTGTATATATCATGATTGAGAATATTTAAAAGTCTATTCTTCTCTGTGAGAAGGTTTATTATTAATACAAGGTATATATAAGTTGCTAGACTTCTTTTCCTCCTAATATTTCCTGCTAATGAAAAGGCTTTGCATTAGGTTTGTTTTACGTACAAATTAACAGGCTGTTAGAGAACAACTTCTCCAGATGGGAATAAATAAAAACTGAGTTAAAAATGGGAACATTTGTGTTATTAGGGAAGAAAAGAGAGCACACTTTTTAGTTTAAAATATTTTTTTCCTATGTATGTACATACTAAAAAGCCAGATTTTATTTATGTGCTGTGAAAGTTTATCTGTAGAATACAGTTGTTCCAATCTAAGTGCTAAGGCCCAATTCCTGTGCACTTTTACACACGTACTTAATATTACTCACTTGAGTAGTCCAGTAAAAGTCAATGGGACTTCTCATAGGAGGAAAAAATAAGCACTTGCATTTGTGTTTTTTGGGATCAGGGCCTATGACTTTCAAATCCTGGTTAATTTTCTTAATAATCATTTTAGTTAAAACATCACGGATATACTACAGGTATTGTCACGTAACATTTTATCATTTTACTTCAAATGAGTAAATAGAAGCTTACAGCTATAATCTGATCTTCTGTCAGACACACAAAATAAATGAAAGAGAATCTTCCTTACAAAAAATAAAGGTCATACATACCCATGCCCTATAGCAGGGGTGGGCAAAATGCGGCCCCTGGGGCAGATGCGGCCTGCCAGGCCATTCTATCCGACCCACGGGGCCCCTAAAGAATTTAGAAAATTAATATTTATTTTCCCCCAGCTGCCTGTCATGCGGCCCTTGATTGCTTGCTTAAACTCAGTAAGTGACCCTCCACCTGAAATAATTGCCCACCCCTACCCTATAGTCACATGCCCCCTGAGCATTATTTACCCCTAAAATTTAAGGGACAAACACATCACCGTAATTAACCATTAACCAGAGCTGAAAACAAATTTATGTGCATTTATTTTTTAAAAGTTAAGTCTTGTTCCAGAAGCTTTGTTGTATCAAACATTAATTCTGTACAGGTATTTGGAGGATATTTTTGTCAAAGACATACTAAGCATGTTATGTTGCTTAAAGTGCTTTCATGTGAAATGCTTTATTGTAATTAAAATCCTGAGCCTAAGATTGGTAATATGTTTAAGAAGCAGCTGTACTGACCAAAAATTGTTGGGAGATTGCAATTAAATGGAGACATTCCGCTTCCTTTCAGAAGTCTATGAAAGTCTTTAAATGTGTGTGTAATTTTACACCGAACAACTCAGTGTCAGCCCCTTGCTTTAATAAGCCACAGAACATATTTCATTCCTTAAGTTTCTAAACCTTTCCAGATGGTTTAGCTACGCATCTTCTGCCATCACCTCCCTGTAGAGTTTTACTGCAATGCTGGGGAGGCTGAAGCAGAACAGAGTGAATTATTCAGCATAAGGCTCACACACTTGAGTATTCACTCAGACCTAACACAATATGCTTTGGCTGTGCTTGCTTTCCGCTAATAATGGGACAACAGAGTTGATTTGCATGAAGAGATGCTGGAATTGAGAACTATGTCCATGCATACACATCTGTCAAAGTAATAGGTTGAGCCTGCCAGAAGCAGGCTAACAGTACATAACATTACTTCACATAAGAGGACCAGAGGACACTGTTACCAAAAGTCCTACCTAATGAAGATCCGACTGAACCCTATACATCTAAGGCCTCCACAAACACCGTTACTTTACTGTGACAATGACAGAATACTGTATTTACTCAAATAGAAGATGAACCTGATTATAAGACAACCCCTCCAATAATTAGATTCTATATATGGAAAATGTATGCATTGGTTATAATTTTCCAGGTATTGAATCTAATTATTAGAAGTTTGCTTTGAATTTGTTGCCCTCCCACTGCCACAGCAGGAAAAATACATCGGGGGGGGGGGGGTCAGGTAGGCCCTTTGATCTCAGTTTCCCCCCAGCTTTTTCCTACAGCAGCTCCTTCCCCGTCTCCTTACTGTCACAGACCCTGCTCTCCCTAAGCACATGAAAGTGAGGACCAAATTTGAAAACAATAACTTTGAAATTAAACATGGATGTAATAATTTACATATAGTACCCATAGACTTAGCTCATCCAGGATGGATGCATTTTATGTTTTTTCAAAATGCTGCAAGTTCTACCACAGGTACTCCATGAATGCACTTTGGCACGTAGTTATATATAGTACAAACTATGCTTGATATTAGTCCAAAGCCACAGACTCATGATTTACCACATAGTTCAATGGGCTGGGCCCCCCAAGAGGCAACAGTGGTTCAAGCCATGTTGCTCCCCAGAACTCAGTGTGTAGGTGTACTGCAGTTACCCCCCACAACAGTCACATGCTAATTAGTAGGCCTGTGCAAAGCAGCTAGTATTCACTTTGGGTTTGGCCGATTTGGAGGGCAGTGATTTGATTTGGTGATCTGAATCAGTCCCAAATCAATTTGGCCAAATCAGATTCAGAGATTTGGCCACTGCTGAATCAGCCAAATCTCTGAATCAAACAGGCTCCACCTCCCATCTGCTCTCCCAGCCCTCCCAATGGCTGCCCTGCTCGGCCCCAACGTCCCAGCTTTTTAAAAAGCCTTGCACTCACTAGCTGCCTCCCACTACCCCCGTGTTGCATGGGGGGCTCTGCCACAAGACCCCAGAAGCCCTGATGGTCCCTGCAGCATCCTGTGAATGCAGGACTTTAAAAAAAATTTTTTTTTAAAGCCCCAAGATGCCGGGGCAGCCATTGATGGGGCTGGGAGAGCAGTCGGGGGGGGGGGGGGCTAAGGAGGGCTGGAGGAGCAGGCAGGGAATGGGGCCTAGCAGAGGTCCCCTTCCCACTACTCCAGCCCCCCCCAACCTCCTGCTTACTGGCATGGAGTCTGGGTCCAGCTCCCTGTGGCGGCAAAGGGGGAGAGCCCAAATCAATTCAGAGAGCTTTGAATCAATTCAGACCTTTTTATTGGTCTCCTGATTTGATTCAGAGATTTTGCTCCTCCGAATTGAATTAGCACCAAAGCTTTGCACAGCCCTACTAATTAGCTCACCCACTCATGAGTGGAACTGGGTGTTCTTATCACAGGTCCTGGGATGCTCCAAAAATTTTTATGCAGATGAGGTGCAGGGCAACCTGGTCTGGCTTCACCTCATAGTGGGCAGAGCCACACTAATCATATGTGCCATGCTGTGAGAAGGAGTGACAAAGGGATTCTGGGTGAACTGTTTGGGGCCCCATTTCACGATGTTTCCCAGACACTTAAGGCTGCTGAAGAAACAGGAATCATTGGAAATGGGAAAGAAAGGCTGATCTCAGCTGTAGGAGTGAAGAGGAAGTAATAACATGCAATGTGTATAAGAAGTATACACTTATACTTCCAGTGAAAGTATACTTCTTATAAACTACTTTCAAGAGTCAGTGGTGAGGGTGACTGCACTTAATGTTTTATTCAGATGGGCTACACTAACCTATCCTAGGTTCCCATCAGCTGGTACTACAGGAAGACAGAAGAGGATGATGGGAAAGAAATGGCAGACCTCATCTGGTGGAGAGGAGTCTGGTATAGATTTTCAGGAGTAGACCCTCTGAGGAAGGCAGTGGGTGGGGGTATAGGTATAGAGATGGGTGCGTGGGCACACGGTTGCATGGTGCAAACTGTGTAACAGGTTTTTGGTGTGCTTTGAGCTGCCAAGTGAATCAGAAGGGCCACTTGGCAGAGTGTTGGAGGTGGAGAATATAGGTGTGTATATATATTCTTTATCTCCAACGCTCTGCCAAGTGGCCCTTCTGGTTCACTTGACAGCTCAAAGCTTGAAAGTAGTGTATAAGTGTAATAAGTATAATATATATAGAAATAAATATTTTTGCAAGTTTGCCCATGGCTACACAATTATGGCAATGAGGAGTTGGTCTTGGGCTCTCCCTCTACTTTGTTCCTACAGCCTTTTGGTTAGTGAGACTAGGGAACATCTGAACTCTAAGGCCTATGGCTTGGGGCTTGCATGTAGGATGTCTGACATTGATTTGGGAGCATCTGAAGCCCCAAGCTGAATAGTCTGGGAGGGAGGATACTTGCTGGTGGTAGATCCACACAGACTTGAACAATTGAGCTGTGCTCAGTCAATAGAATTTGGAACCGACTTGGCTGATTTGACCTGAGACATGAAATTAAATGGAAAAAAAAAAATCAGCATGTTTGCCCAATGTGGGCCACATGCTTTACAGTCATGCTCAATGTAGGCTGCATGTAAATCAGCTTCATAGTTGGTTTCTACTGCTCTGAGCACATGATACTTCTGGCAGCACTTTAATAACAGGCAATGTATTTAGTGAAATGTCCTTGTTTATTATTTGATTACTTGTTTATTGTTTGATTATAAGATGAGGGGCTTCCCTCCCCCATGCCAATGGGGGAAAAAACCTCACCTTGAATTTGAGAAATATGGTATTAGCAGCGAGTATACACTCAATGCGTCAATTAACATCTCCTCTTCTATAGGATAAGGAAACAGGGTTCATATAGACAACTTAACCACCTATGCAAAAATCAGACCACATCCCTGGCAACTAGAACCAAGTCTCACAAGTTATACCTTAACTAAATGTAATCAGAAAACTGAATTTCAATTGTTCATTCAACAATTAATACTAGTCCAGGGTCTTTTTTAAAAGGTACCTACCAAAAAAATAACTTAAAATATTTTACAATTTCCTCGTCTTTGAATCTCTCAGGGATATAGTGCACAAATGCCTAGTGATTTGGTGACAAGAGTTTACATTAATTAGCAAATCACAATTAATAACCTAACTGGCCCAGTGAACTTTTCACAATCAATCCACACAGAGTTAAAAACTCTCAAAACAATTTTTGCCATGTAACTAGAATTACTGACCTTAATTTCACAATAAAGTGTGCTAATAAAAATAATATGAGCAGTGACTTTTTCCAGGAATCTGTAGAGGCCCCACCACCAAACAGTGATCAGAAGTAGATTGGATAAAAGGCTGAAATTTATAGGATTGAAAACAACTTGAACTGCTTCAGGGTGACTAATTCAAAGGGGGTCTTCAAATCTGAGGAGGTCTGAAAAGCTGTGCATCATATGGGTAAAAAGACCTGGATGAGGTAGGGTAGATATAAACAGCAGCAGAAGGAAAGGAGAAGGCTGTTCCTTCTCTACTGTCCTCACACACACTCCTACTTTGCTTGTTGTATTTTTTTTTTCTTTTACCCCTGCAATAACTCAATGGATATGGGCACTCATGAGCTCCACATAAGCCAAATCAGCATCTTAAAACTTCACCCGAAAGTTACCTGACAGATATAGACAGCCAGATCCCTATGTAATGTGCTCCAAATGTGACACAGTTTAATAATAACTACCTACATTGTGAGCTCCATCCATACTTCATTTTATAATGTCATTGGAAAGCATCACTCCTCTCCCAGTTTAATCTTTTTGACCACTTTTTAAGGTATTTATGTTGGTGGCAAGTGCGGTTACCCTTAACTACTTCAAATTTCTCTCATTTTTACCTCTGAATG